CCCCCCCCCCCACACACACACACACACAGCAACAATAGTTTAACAGGATAAGAAACAAATGCTGGTGAGGATGCGAAGAGATTGGAACTCTCATGCAGTGCTGGTGCGAATGCAAAATGGTACCCCTGTGGAAGGCTATCTGACATTTCCACACAAAGGTGAATATAGAAATCCAGTTTGATCCAGTGAGTCCACTACGGGAATATGCCCTGAGGAAAACAGAGCTGAGATGTGTACAGATGTATGTGCACCTGTGTTTATTGCAGCATTACTCAAAAGTAGCAAGAAAAAAAAAAACGAAAAAAGTAGCAAGGAGATGAAAGCATTACAAGTGTCTATCAACAAACAAATGGATTCACACAGAATTTTTTGCAGCATTAGCAAACAGAATAAAGAATTTGTGTATCACTGTATAACATGGATGAGTCTAAAGAACATAACTGAAAAACATAACATGAAAGGCATAAAGCTGAGTGAACTAACTCATTGGCCTAAGGACAAATACTGTGGAAGACCTCTACTATAAAAATAGGTTATGGCGGTGGGAGAGGGAGAGCAGAAATAGAATGGACAGGCAGTCAACACTGTAAGGGAATAAGAGAAGGGAGGAACAGCCTGGAATGAATGGTCAAACAGTATGTGTATGCAGTTAACAGCTTGGAAAGGACATGCATAGCTGGTCAAAGGGGAAGATAGGGGAGGAGGCAGGAGAGGGGGATGCTAGATCAGCAGAGATTAGGGGATGGGTGAGTAGGTGAGGATTTGATGAGACAGTGTACGAAATGGCACTAATTAAAATGGTCCAAAACATAATGTTTATGATTGAAAATGAATTAAAAAAAAAGAAATACAGGTTTAAAAAAATTGATAATATTTGGTCCACATGTTTTTGCTCTTCCCTTATTTTAGGGCAAACACTGTATTCTTGATGTGTCTGGAAATGCGATAAAGAGATTACAAATTGCACAGCTTTATCCAATCTCCATTTTTATTAAACCCAAATCCATGGAAAACATCATGTAAGTATAAATGCTTTTTAATTTGAATAGCTTTTTCTTAATAGTTGTTAGTAAAATTTTTTAACTGTGATTTTGACAAAAGTTTACAAAAAAGTTAGATTTTCTTTCATTCATTCATAGTACATTTTACCCCCTCCTTCCTTTCCCCCTCCTCACTTCCCTTTTAATTTTTAATATTGATTTATTGTTACACAGTTACCTCCCTCCCCCTCCCCAGTCCCCTTTGCAATGCACCTCTTATTCTGGACTGTTGTCATACGTGTAATGCCTAATATATTCCTTTTAAACATTTTTTTCTAAGTTTCCTCTGAACCCCCATGTCAGTCCTGTTTTATAACAGTGGTATTATGTAGTATTTGTACTTTTGTGACTGAGATACTTTACTCAGCATAATGTCCTCCATGGTCACCCATATTGTGTAGTATTTTATGAATTCCTGGTTTTTCAGTGCTTCATAGTATTCCATTTTGTGGGTATACCATAGGCTTTTCTATCCTTTTATTCATTTATTTAGTGATGGGCACTTGGATTGCTTCTGTCTCTTTGCTGTTGTTGAATAAGGCAGCAATAAACGTGAGTGTGCATATATTTGTTTGGGTGGCAGCTCTGATTTCTTTAGGGTATTAATAGTGGAGTTTAAACCATGCCTTGGTTTTTAAATTCGATTGGAGATTGAGGAAGCAGCAGAATGCTCTCAGATGGGTGCTTTTTGGTGTGGTGAAAGCTAATGGGAATGTTTGATGACAAAGGAATGTGGAATTGAAGGAGTTTGTGGAGTTTAAACCATGCCTTGGTTTTTAAATTCAGTTGGGCCCTTAGCTCTGCAGCCCTAGGTCCTTGTTTGGTTATATTTTGGAGGAATATACTTCTAAATCATACATACAGTACTCTTATGTCAGTTTGCCAAACTGAGGTAATCTGGGTTTGCTGTGATGATGAGCCTTGTGCTATGCGGGTGTCAAATGCCTAACGGCTGTCCATAATAAACAGTGTTTGGCAGAGCTTCCAGTTCAAGACAGGTTTGAAAGTAGGAGTGGGATCCACTTCCTAAACTACAGGCCTTTGGAAACTCTAAACTTAGAGACACTACGTATAGAAAGACTTCAGGTCTTTTGTTCATAGGGTAGCTATGAGTCGTCATCTACTTGACAGCAATCAACAAGAACAACAGTGGAATTTCCAACTTTTTGAGAAAGCACCAAACTGCCTTCCATAGTGGTAGCACCATTTTACACTCCCACCAACGGTGAAGAAAGGTTCCAATTTCTCCACAACCTAGCCAGCATTTGTTGTTTGCTTCTCTGCTGAACTTTGCTATTGTTTTTGGGGTGAGATGATACCTCATAGTTGGTTTTAGTACAAATGCTTTTAAGGCACAGTCTGTATGTACAGATTCAGTCTCTGTCATTTAATACCTTGCTTAATTTATTTATCAGGGAACTCTAGTGGCTTATTGTTAAGAAGCTGCACTGCCTACCAAAAGGCAGACAGTTCAAATCCACTATGAAAGACGGGCAGTCTTCTACCATTTAGTTCATTATCTCTGAAAACCTGCTGGAGGGTCACTTTGAGTTGGTTCCAACTTAACAGCAATTTGTTTACCTTCCTTGCCTCTCACTTTCTTTATAACTTAAGGATTATTATGAAGATTAAATAAGCTATTAGAGCTCTGGTGGCCTGCTGGTAAGGAGTTGTGCTGCCAATCTGAAACCATGTGATTCAAATCCACCAACTGCTCCATTGGAGAAAGATAAGTAGTCTCCTTCTGTGCAATTTGTAACCTCTGAAAACTTGCTGATGGGTCATCTATGAGTCATTTCCTACTTGAAGGTATATAACAACTTCCTTAATATTACTGAAGTTTGGTTTTCATTTAAATGTCTACACCTTTAGTGACTACCAAGTCTTCCAATTCATAGAATAAAAGAATCCATAGATACTTACCTAACTGAAGTGGTGAAGAAATGGATTTTAAAAAAAAAATATGTAAGAAAGGAAAAAGAAACAGGTGAGGCAAATGGGATGCAGAGATAGGTATTATAGATGACTGTAATTAAATACTAGATGGTCCATCTAGAAGGCAAACACTGTCAATTAGGAAACAACTAAAACAACTAAATGTTGCATTCAAGAGACCTGTTAAGTGTATGGAAAGATTGAAAGTCAGAGAAGAAACATGCTATGAAAACACCAAAAGTAAACTATTTAAAGCAAAAATTAATAAAGGATTTTAAAATTTCACAATCATATTAATAAAATTTAACATACTTGTCAGTAAATGATGTAAAACAAATAAAAAAATCAATAAGGATATTGTTGTTACTGTATGTAACAGCATAACAATATTGACTCATGGTTGACCCTCCAGTAGGTTTCCAGAGGTTATAAATTACACTAAGAGTAGCTCATGGATTCAGACTGCATTCCTTTGAGTTAGCAGCACAACTTGACTCTAGACCACAGAACTCTTTAAGTAGAAATGTAGAACTACACAATTTAAACTTTACTTAATTGTCCTGTGTAGACAGCTGCATTCAACATCTGCAAAATACCTATTAAAAGTGCATATGGAGAATTGAAAACTGAGGACTCACTTAAATGTTTTCAATTAAATTATAATCCAACCGTCAGAGAAATGTCAAAACTATGCAGAACTTTAAATATGTATTTAAGTCTTGAACATTATAAAAAGATTAATCCTTTGTATTCAAATATGTTGTTGCGGTAATGGAGGTAGTGAGCCATCGAGTCGGAACTGATCCATAGCTGACCCTCTGGCAGCTTTTCAGAGGCAGTTAATCGAATAGGAGGCAATTGCCCATCCTTCTCCCTCAGAGCAGCTGGTGGATTCAAACCACGTGCCTTCAGGATTGCAGCACAGTTATTGAATAAACAAACTAGAGATAATATAACAACACTATTTTTAGAGAGAGTGCTAATAAAACTGATAAACTGTAAGTATGGTCAATAAAGAGAAGAAGAAGTCTTGTGTAGTCAGAAAAGAACAGGGGCATGTCACTCTATGTCCAGTTGGATAAAGATCTTCTCAAAAGAGAATACCTCAATGACTTATAAATAGATGAGGTGATGCTCAATTAATCATGAAAGTAAAATTAAAACCACAGTGTGATACTATTTTACACACACACTAGAATAAAATTGAAAAAGAAACAAAATACCAATTGTTGAGAAGAATGTGAAACTGAAAATCATAGCAGTAATAGGTGTGTAAATTTGTATAACCACATGAGGAAACTGTTTATACAATTTTTTAAAGTTGAACATGCACACCACCTGTGACTCAGCAGCCCCATTCCTAGATAAGTGCTCAAAAGGAAGATACATTCTCCAGAGACAGATATGTCATTACAGGCAAAGATGCAATTCAAAATACCCATCAGCAGGAGAGCAGATTAATAAATCATGACTTACTTACACAGTGAAATATTCCACAGTACCAAGCATGAACAATCTCCGGTTACCACAGATATGTGGAAAGATCGCACAAACATAATTAGAGTTCATAAAGGGAAAGAAAACAAAACCCAGACTTAAAAATATAAATACTCAGTTATCATTTATGTAAAATTCAACAGCCGAAATAAAACATTGTTAATGATTTATAAAAGAGAGTAGAATTAGCAGGCTGAGATGCTAGAGTGCTGTTAACGTTCTGTGTAACTTAAATCTAGGTGCAAAAACAAATCTTAAATGTGTGTGAACTTGTGATAATTTATTAAACTGCACACCTGTGTTTTTACTCCTTTCTGAAAGTTAAACTTATAATAAAATGTTAAGAAAAATAGTCCTGTGCTTGTTGGAAAAGGTGGTGTAGACTGACCCCCAGAATGACTAAGCTAAAGGGCACACCTCTCTGAAAGTCCACACCAGTGACTCTCCCAGGAAGAAAGATGGGTTCTCTCTGCCTGTTCAGTTGAAAAACCGACAGCTACAAGTTGGTTCCAACTGGATGTCATTGAGTTCGTGTTTGTGACAGTAGACTAAATTGAGATAACTGAATACCACCAAGGTTTGAGGTAGTCTGTTTTACAAACATTACTAGATGCACCTGATCCAGTCCATGCAGTTATTTACTATACATCAGAGAGCTGGAAAATTACTAAGGATGACAGAAGAAGAATGGATGCCTTTGAGTTGTGGTGCAGCAGAAGAGTGTTGAATCTACTTATACTGCCAAGAAAACAAATAGGTCTGTCTTGGAGAGGGTGATACCAAGTTTTTCCTTGGAGGCTAGGGTTTTGAATTTCCATCTTACATATTTGGGCACATGGCCAGGAGGGACCGATCCTTAGAGAAGGACATCATGCCCAGATGGATGGAGGGACAACCGGATGATATGGATTGATACTGTACAGCAATGAGAATTGGTGTATTAGAGTCAATGAGACTCTCTCAGGACAGGGCAGCCTTCAGAACTGTTGCACATAGGGCCACTATTAGTCACAGGCAACTGACTCAACAGCACATAATAATAATTCCAAGGAATAGGAAGAGAGGAAGTGCTTTTCAACAGATTTTGTGAACATTAATTTAATACCAAAACCTGATGGACTTTTTAACAGAAGAGAAAAATGATGGACCAAGCTTAATTATAAATATAGATGTAAAATTCCTTACCAAAATAGATACTATCTAATTTATTCCAGCAAGTAGTTGAAAAAGAACAACCACAAATTCATGGCTGTTTGAACAATTAAAAATCAGTTCATACACCCTCTGTGGCTCAACTTTTAGCCAAAAAAAATGGGCCTACAGTAACACCAGACAGCTACTCAGTCCTTAGAACAGTCAACCTTACTCTTTAGAACAGTCAGGATCAGAAGAACGGCATTTTTGCAGAGAGCGCCTTGGTGGAATAGAAGATTCAGTAAAGCCAGAATCACAGGAAGCAGGAAGAGTGTGGTTACAACCTGAATATTTTACTTTAAAATCATAAAATGTGGATGTGTGGAAAACCAATATAATCTTTCATTCAGACA